CAACATACACCATAGCATTGCCCAGGAAGAAAGCAAACAACATGAGGGCTGCCAGTTTTGTGAAAAGAGGTTAAGAGTTGTACTGGTCCTTGGATCACAGGTTTACGTTCCTAAACCTCAAGTCTACATCAAAGATGATGGCCAGACTGAGGACAGGAGAAAGCAGAGCTGGAAAAAAGGGGAACAAGAAGGGTTGAGAATGGAAGGAGAGAAGAAAATAAATTTCTGGTTTAGCCAGCCTGATGGAGAGTTGCTGGCCAGATACCTCAAGGGCCAAAGGCAATCCAGAGCTTCAGTTTGGTCAGAACGAGACTGATCTGGAGTAGGTCTTAGCTTAGAGGTGATTTGCTAAAATATTTGCAGCCAAGATTGGTCAAATGTAAAGCATTGAGGGAGATAAGGAAGGGACACAAAACCCTTCTGCAAAAACAGCAAGGCAGGTTAGGTAAGCTCGCTAAAGGATGCACTGAAGCACTAGTTGCAGGGATGGAGTGACGGGGGACAACTAGGAAGGCACAGATTGTGAAATAAAATTCCTCCCAAGCCTCCAAGCCCAGAGGTCCCTCTGGCACTTCCAGTTCTCGCTCCTGTGGATTGCAGATCCTTCTTGCTGCTCTTCCTACCTGCCTGGGTGCCGGCTCTGCCCAGCTCCCCACGCCCAGGCATCTTTTCCTAGCCTTCCTCTCCGAGCTCAGCTGAAGCCCCGTGGGGCATGAAATGCAGTACTCAGGGGATCTGCGGGCTGTCAGGCCTTCTTCAGGGGGCTGCCCGTGCTCACGCAGCCCGAAACAGCCTGGTATTTGCCTTTTATGTGAGTACATCCCATTCGGTTCATCACACGCTAGCTGAACTATAACATGATATAACATGAATGGCCTTCCCACTTTGGCTTACACAATTTTCTCTGCTTTTTCTTAGACATAACTTTCCGAGTGCCACAAGGCAAGCTGCTGCCATAGGAAATGAGGTAGGGCTGCTCAGGTAGCTGCTCCTCTTCAGTGGAGAAGATCAACTTCAGGGAGAAGATGAAAGAAATCCTTAGCATAACTCATGCTCTCACACAGAGCTGAAGCTCCAGTGGCTGACTTTGGCCATGAGTTGGAAGCATGCAGGGAAAGACCACGCCAGAGATGTCAAACCTGCATTTTAGTCTTCAGCAGCCTGTTGTATTCCCAGCTCTCCTCTCAGATTTTCCCCATTGCTGGCACACATTTCTCCCCATGATAGCCCAGCACTAGTCAGGCTGCTCTCCAGAAACTTGGCTAGACCAAGTTTCTATATAGGCAGAACATCCGCTGTTTGCTAATGCTCCTGGCAAACCAGAGCCTTGCAGAAATCATGCCAGTGCCTCCAGTGCAGCATAAGCTCCTCAGCCTAGCAGCTTCTCACTCTTCTCTTCCCTTGGTTTCCTATTGTCGTGTCATAGGAAAAGTAGAAGTAACAAACATGGAAGAAACCTGACCTGCCAGCCCAGGCGTGCTGCCTGGGTCCATGCCAGGCTCCTGGCTGCCCACATTGCGATTCTACTTCCCACTCATTGAATCAGGGGCGGAATAAATCTGCTCTGGTTTTGGGAAGCTTTCCAGCAGATGTGCCATGGACACCCACCAGAGGAGTGCTCTGACCCTCTGCGATGTCATTCCCCCCCAGTGTCACTTGTGAGCTGTGTCTGCAGCAGGACGCAGGAGGTACGGGAGGCAGCTGCTGGGAGAAAGCTCTTCACCATCCTCCTTGGTTCAGCATTATCCCTACCAGGCTACAGGATTGAACAGTGTTTTGCAGCTGGATCTTAGACCTGGGCTTACATCATGGTCTGTGACACAGGAACTAGGAAAGTGTTACAGAGCAACTCTGTCACTGAAATGCATTTCTCATACATGTCTCAGTTTGGTGCATTAGTGAGTTCTTAGAAATATTTTGGCCATGAAGTGGTTCTACGTGCTACCCAGAAGGCAGGTTTTCAGCTGCCCAGCAGTGGAGGAAGCCCAGGAGAACACTGGCACAGAGGCCAAGGCTGCCCAGCAAAACGCCCCGGGGCTGAGCCAGGAAGACTCTGCAAACAGCAGCCTCCGACTGCCTGGACTGGTTCTGTCCTGAACAGCCACAAAGCAGCTGCCAAAACCCAGTACGAGGAAGAGAAAAGGTGTGTTAATGCTGCAGGGCAGTGCTGGGGAGAGTGAGGACGTCAGTCTGAACCAGCCGCTGCTTCCCTGCCTGGTCCCCAGCTCCCTTGTGAGCCCGCACAGCTCAGCACTACTGCTCCAGAGAGCACAGCGGAGGGAAGAGAAATAGTCCCGTGGTTCAAGGCAGCGCCAAGACCCTGCCACAAGCACCCTGTATCACGTGAACAAGCTTCTCTGGCCACAGCGCTTGCCTACGCAACGTGGACTCAGGCACGCTCATGCCCTCTGAGAGAGGGGTGAGGTGGGGTGGGCAGCGTAGCTGCCCTCCGCTGCCGAGGGATCTGCCAGGGAAGCACTGACCCAGAGGGAGCTCGGCGCCGGCTGCGCAGGTCTCACGGAGATGAGGGTGGCATGGGACGTGAGCACTGTTACGGGCGGCAGTTGTACACCGGGATTACTGGCCCATGAGCCTTCACCTTCTCCACTGAGACACTTCACATGATCCTGTGTCTACCCTCAGAGGCGTTAGCCGTTCTCCTCCATTTGCAGTCTGTGGCTGAACTGACTGCAGGAAACAGAAACAAGAAAACACTGAGCCTCTCCTTACAGGAAGAAAAGAGATTTACTTTAAAAGGTAGAAAATACATAATAAGTAGCATGGGCCTGTATGTTCCAAGCCCTCTACCCTCAGTGTAAAGTAGCACGTTGTCCAGCTCAGACTTGTAGAGATTCCAACCAGGATGAACAAGAGGGTTTCACCAAGGATTCTCTGACTCGGGCTCTGGCTAAGGACTGGGGAGCAGCAGGCCAGCACACTGATGCAAGGGTAGGAAATTCCCTCCACAGAAGGACCTTGTTGCCCCTTGTCTCAGCTCTCAGTGCCACTGCACTCAACAAAAAGGACACATCAGTTTCATTCCTTACTTCCCAAACCCAGCTTCCCTTGGCACCCAGAGCAGCAGATACACAGGATCAAAACAGAGACAGCAGACTTGAAGAGAAAGAGGTAGGAAATCAGTACAGGTATCTGTGAAAGAACAGGTTGTTGGGAGATACCCAGTTTGTGACTATAACAGTGCGAGGTGAGGGGTCCCCAGGCACGCTGAAGTATTGACACGCAGACTATCAGGCACTGTGGGACTGTGCAGAGTGACTGTTACCATCCTCTCCCCTCTGCCAGGGCAAGACTGGTTCAGATACTGCGGTCTCAGCCACTGAGACCGGCTGAGTGCTGATCAAAGTTTGTTTCTGCAGCAGTCCTGTCTACTTGCACAGTTCTAGCTGGGTGCAGGGGGAAAAAAAAAAAAAAAAAAAGGCTGCTATATGTCTGGATGTATTCACCCAGTTAGGCAAGGCCCAGCAGCACTGGAAGAGGATAGGGCTGAGCCAGTGTGACCTGCAAGAAAGTCAAAAAACATAACTCAGTGGAGGACATAAAAGAAGGGCTCCGTTCAGTAATCCCAGTACGACACACTGTTATCTATGCAGATCCCACACATTTTGTCTTTCTTCTGCCTAACTTCAGACACCAGGAGCATCCCCTGGGTGCATCAATACCCATGTACAGGAATGGAGCACTGAGTCAAACACTTTGGGGAGAGGATTTTCTCAGCCATCAAGAGGAAGAAAAGACAGGCCCCAGCTAAAAAGCTTTACTCCAACATGAATTCCTGGGAGCAGAACCACGCAGGGAGCTCAGCAATCCCAGCGCAGGGCTGCATGGTCTTTTGATCCCTCTCCACACCCAGCTGACACAAATCCAGTCTTTTCCAGAGGTATATAACACCACCACTACAGCTTCCTCCTGCCTTCAGCAACTGAATGGGACAGGGATTTACCCACTGGCTGCACCAGGAAGCTGCGCATTCACAAGATGCTTCAGGCAATTAACGCATGGGGCATAGCCAGCTTGTGCCAGAAGGCCCTCCCTGGCCCACTCCATACACTCCTTTAACCTGCCCAGTATATTACAGCCTCAGTAACCAGCTGTGTTTCCAGCTGCTGAAACCTTGTTTAAAGTCCTCATAGACTGCCGCCTTTTCCTATGTTCTCAGCCTTGCCTTCGGCTCTTTGCCCCTGCTACCCCCAAGGTTCTTTGCCCAGCACCCATTTCTCATATGTGCCTCCACAACATTAAGCCACTGCAGCTGACTATTGTAGCATTCAGATATGCTTTCTGAGAGTACTCATCCTTCCAGCCCCAGGCCTCTAACAAACTGTGAGCTCCCTCCAGCAGCATTGTTACTGTACTGCAAGCATGCTGTGCACCACAGGTGCTGGGAACCCAACCTTATGATGATTTTCCCCATTTTTCCTGGTCTCTTTGCAGTCCTGGAATAGAAGCTGGCCACAGCCCTCTGTTTCTCCTGCTCTATTTCTATGCAGTTGGTGACCAAGAGACGCCCTGGGTGGAGCACCAAGGGAAGAGCCCCTTTGATCCTCCATTTCCCAGAGAAGCTGCAATTGCTGTCTGCCTTCCTGTGTGCTGCTTCCTCTTACCATGTCACTCGGGCTTTACATCCTCAATGTTGAGAGCTTGACAGCAGCTCCGTACAGAGGTGCTCAAGGGAATGGAAGAGAACTGCAGTGAGAAGCAGAGAGACAGTATTAAGGGAGCAGCATCTGGGATGCTGCCCACATCACAGCCCCTTCTGTTGTGGACTTCTCTTTGGGCATCTCAGCGAGCCTCTCCCAGGGTCTCTCCCAGCGCCGCACTTCCAGTGAACAGTCTTGACCCAAGACCACCAAATAAAACCTGTGACCCAGGAGCTAGGAAACCGAGCACTACTTGTGGAAGCCTTCTCTTTCCTGCCCCTGGGTAGGGCAGTTCCATGTGTCCCACCATGGCCATGAGTGGCAAGGCTTGGCCCAGCTCACCTGCTGGATTTCCTGCATCGCCAAGCGTATGGAACAGTGGAGGCGTGGGAAGGCTCGTTGGCTGTCTTTCTCCTTGCCTAAGCTTGGCTTTGTCATATTCTTGTCCAGGCTCTGCTGGTTTTGGCAATTCTTGGACTTCCTGAACCACGCGGATCTGAGAACCGTGGTTGCTCCTGACTGCAGAGCAGGTCTGCTGGTGGAAGGCCTGGAGGGGCAGGGCTGCTCCTCTGGAGGGGTCTCCCCCTCGGCTGCTGGTGGACCCAGCCTGAGGCACTCCAGATTTTTGTAATCCAAACTCTCACTACTTTTCTGAGGGGAGAAAGAGTGGATTCAGCAATGGCTTGCAGACCCTCCACATACCCCAAACAGCACAATGGGGATGAATATCCAGCTGTGCCCAATGCTGACATTCAGGGCGCAGGGGGGTATTATCCATCCCCCAGGGCCTCTCCCCCACCCCAGGACTCCCCAGTGCCCAGCTAGTCCGGTGCATACAGAACAGACCAAGCTGTTTGGCCAGAATGGGGCAGCCCTCAACGGGAACACAAAAGAGAGATTCTGCTAGAGTGACTCTGTCCACTCAGGGCATAGTCCATGGCCCAGCCCCTTTTCTGGCTGCAGATCCCCAACATTCACCTGCCCACAGGGAACAGTCAGTGTCTCCATGAAGGGCTGGATGCCCACAGTCTGGTGATACTGAACCAGTTCAGTGAGCGAGGTGTGAGCCCGGTCTTCCCCCAGGATAACATAGCGCGCATTGGGCTGCATCTGGATCATGTAGTGTCTGCAGCGGCTTTCACCCCTGGGGAGACGGACAGACAGAAATAGTCATGGCACGGGGCTGCAACATCTGTTCAGGACCCAGTCATTGCTTTCTGCACTTGTCTCAAGAGGCCACATGTGATCAGGCTCCCCATTAACAAATATCACAAAGATGCAGGAGATGCACCATGCTGGACTGTCACATGCTGTGCTAGTAGGTGCTGGAGGAGCAGCAATTTCCCCAAAGTCAGTGACAGGAGAAACCGAGCAGCTGGATCCAAACCCCAGCAGACTGTACCACCTCCAATGTCTGTTGTCCACATTAAAACTCTGCCCTACCCCTTCCCTAAGGCTGTACAAAGACCATGCTTCTCCTCAGGCTTTCTTCTCGACTGATCTCTGCTCCAGTCAATGCTTCTTCCAACCTGGTTTGCCCACTCAGCCATATAGCACAACCCAAGAAGGACCTGCACCCTTGGAACTGCAGCACCCCACCACAAACACATTTAGTTTTTGGCAACAGACAGACTGTGCAGTGTCCTGTCTGCTACTCCAAGCTGTCTGAGACACCCACTACAGGAGAAGGTGAGCATCATCCTCACTAGACTCCTCTATGGAGGAGGTTAACTCCTCCAGCCACGCAGAGGTCAATTTAGGACCTTCTTTTTCCTCTCTGCAAGGCTTATTACCTACCTGTATGTCAAGGTGTAGCCTGGTCGACTCTGGCTGATCCGAACAAGGAAGCAACCCAAAGGCTTGTCAATCAGCAAGTTTTCAGCTTCCCTGGAAGCAGGAAAGAGTTTTTCAGTGGACAGTGAGCACCTGTCTCTGTGCAGGGATTCCCATCCTATCTCACGTGCTACCATGGTAGCGCTCCAAGTGCACAGGGAAGCCAGCATCTGCCCCATGCATTCCTGGCTAGTTTTCCACGCTCAGGCTTGCTGGTGCAAGGAGGCATTAGCAGGCTGAGGAGGCACAATACTCTCAGCCAAAGCCTCTCCAAGCAGGGCTGCTCCAAACCTGCTCCAGTGGTCTGACCAGTGCAATAGCAACAGCTACCTTCCAGCACAGAACACATTGCAAGCACTGCTGAGAAGAGGAGGCTGTGCACATACCCATTTCCAATGCTCCAGGGCTGATGGAAGAAGTCAGGATGCTGTGGGGCAGTGGTGCTCAGCACAAGGTAAGCTCAGTGCCTTGGAAAAACACCAGCTTGGATTACACCAGTCTGTCTCTCCCAACTTCCTGCTGGAAGGAGGTCTTCCCTGTCTCTGCCCAATAGACAAAGCACTGCTTTGTGCTTGTCATGTGCCCTGCTCCAGGCTAAAGGTGACTGCAAATCACTGGAGCAGTTTGGGGCTGCTCTGGCTGCTCTGTTACATGAGGCTGAGCTTACCCTGCTGCATGGAGACTTAAATCCAGCAACAGGATGCACCACTTCAAAAGTATCTAATCTTCCGTGTCTTTGGGAAGGATCTGCTGCGTCCCCGGTTGTGAAGTGCTCATGGCTAGCCTGTATTTGAATTCAGGCAGTTTTGTCTTCCAGGTGCTAGCTCCTATCCTGCATTCTTGGATCTGTGGACAAAAGCATTAATGCAGGTGGGGGCCTTGTTAATTATCTTAAAAAAAGAAAAAAATGCAGCTACCAGGGAGTTGTCAGCTACTGTAGTGTCCTTTACTAATCTAACGTGCTGTATAATGTCTCTGAGCACTGTTCACACCGATAAGCTGACAAAATCCAGGAACTTGTGATCTAGTACAACTGAAGAAGGCTTGCAGCTTTAACAGAAAAAAGTCACAAACTGCAACAAGATGGTAAGGGTGTTCAAATGACAGGCAGGCTTGGCAGCAATGCCCACACAAAAGCTTGAGAGCTCAGTCTTGTAAAGAACTCTGTAAGAAAGTAGGGTTTTGTGCATGTCTCTCCCAGCCTAAAAGGAGGGTAGGTGGGCAGAGGTATCAACAAAAAGCCTTCCTTTTCCCATCTCTGGGGACTTTGGGGGAATCTTGCTACTGGGTACTCACTAGAGCCCCTCTTAATACTTTCTTTAAAAATAAATGTACACTGAATTCTGTATTCATTTGCTGTAAACTGAGGTATCCTCCTGACCTAAACTGAGAGATATGAGAACAGTCATAATGAGTCAGACCGAAAGTTCATCCTCTCTCCATCTCTCTGCAACCAATCCACAACAGGGGCTCTCCAAGTACTTTCCAAGCCTGCCTTCCCTGCAAGATCTGTATTCAGGAACCCACAGTGGGCTTATTTCCTATGAGTTTCCAGTCTTCCCCTGGACCCATGTGAAGTTTCAGCATTTGCGTCCTGTGATGGGGAGCTCCAGGCTTCCCCCTAAGGGTTTGAAGCTCACAGCCTAGAAGGGAAAGGTTATGCAGGTCACTCCCATTCCTTAAGGAGGCAAATCCTGGCAAACCCAACCTACACAGTCCTCCTAAGGACACAGCAGCTTCTGCCTGCCTGCCACAGCCCAAGCTGCGGTTGCGGCCACTGTGTCCAGCGTACCCACCTTCGGCTGATCATCCCATGCAGCCAGCTTGGAAAGGCCCCATCATCCTGCATGACCTTCTGGGCCTGCGTCTCTTTGAACCAGCGGAGAGTTGCTCCTCTCTTGAGTTTCCTCATTTTTGCCTCTTCTCCAGTCTGTCCCTCTGCGCCCAGAACAGGGCGAGGCACAGAAGGGTCCAAGAAGTTATCAAAAGGAGTGGACTGAAAGTGGAGAGAAGGGGAAAGTGGGCATGAAAGCAAGGTCAAAGGCAGGGGATCTTTGAAGGGGTCACTTTGATAGCCATCCCATTCTTAAGACAGGATCAGTCGCAAACTATCAAATGCGACTTTCAGTTCCTCAAAGGTCCTGACCATGCTTTTTAACTAACCACAGTAGAAAAGGACTCTGTCGCTTCTCCTAACAAGAATGACAATATTGTCCTGGGACCACATGCAGGAGCACATGTGCATGCAGAAGGTGGAAGGAGCAGGGAACCAGCACCCCTCGCTAAGGCACCCCAAGCAGAGCTAATATTGCTACCTCTGTTAGTTTGCTGCGTGGCCGTGGCACTGGTGGCTTATCAGGAGCATGGGGACAAGGCTGAGGGCGCCTCTTTCGTGGCATGGGGACTGGAAGAGAGATTCTTTCTGCAACAAGAGGACAGAAGTAGATGAAATCTAGCATCCAAGATCCATGAGATCCATCCTCCACATGCCCAGGATAGGGACAGGCTCTGCTGCATAGAGTGTGTGGCAAAGACACAGCTTGACACTCCTCCCAACACAGCCAGGCAAATAACCTTCACCACGCTGCTTCTGCTCCCCCCAGAGGAAGCTGCACTTTCAAATGGCGGAAACATTGATAGGTCCCTGCCCACCGCATCGGTGAAGCCCCCAGCCCCAGGAGAGCTGAGGGCAGGCCATCATCACCTGAAGCTTACGGCATTTTGAGGTGATCGTCACACGAGTGGCCACACACAGGGGCAAGTGGGAGTGGGAGCAACTCACTCTGGGCCTCTGCTTCCATTGCCAGCTGCCGGCTTCTTTCTCTCTCTGCCTCCTCCTGCAGCTGCTGTGCCTGAGCTCTCAGCTCAGCCACCAGTTTTAGATAACTCTTCCTGCATCTGAATCCCCTGAAAACTGTTCAGAGAAAAGCTGTGGTTGGAAAAAAAATTGTCATCATGCCTTTGTGACTCCCTGAGGGAAGCACACTGGGTGATATTCCTTCAGCCAGTGCAAAGCTCTCAACACTTCAATCATATTAATAAAGGGCAATGCAGACTCTTCTGGAGCAGGCAGTCAAAACCACGTAAGAACTGTCTTCTACTCTCTAAGCTGCCAGATCATGGATTTAAAAAAAAATAAAGTCACAGGTCTAAGCTCTCATCTCTAATGCCAAGGCACAGGATACCCAAAAAACAAAGTCTCACAGAAGGGCCTCTGTTAACCTTCTATCTCCCTGGTACCCTTCAAACACTACTCAGTAAAAGCAAAGCTCTTCTGTGCAGGAGATGGGATTTCCTTGGTGTCAGCCATCACGGCTGTCATTCCCATAAGCAGCCATCACAGGGTTCATAAGGAGCTTTAGAAACATTGCATTATCCCACCTACTCTACGATGTACTAAAGCACATAGCTGCACTCTCTCATTTCCCACTACCCACACACCTTCCCCACGGATGAGAGCAAGGCACAGCATGTGACAGTCTGATGTTTGTCATACTGTACAGTGCGTAGCTGGAAGCTGCTCAGATGCTTCAGCAGTGCAACAACCCATACAGAAGAGAATTACAACAGAGGGACCAGGCAGGATGACGGCCACCTCCTCCTGATTGCACAGTCCTCATGGAGCCTGTGCAGAGGGAAGTACCAAACTACCCAGAGTGCCTGCTCTAGAGAAACAGGCTGCCAGAGCAGACACTACCTAGAAAGGAAAGAAAAAAACCCCAACAAAACCAAAACTTCATCCCTTTCTGCCTGTCTCTGAAAGTAGGAATGAGATCTACTTCACTCATCATCTTTTCCCTCTCCTCAGTTCAACACCACTCACGAACATGCCCTCACGCCAGGGGATGGTTACCCAGATCTTGGGACACAGTCAAACCATATGCTTGCCCTGCTCAGCTCAGTTCTCCTTCACATGTGCTTTCCCTTTCCAAGGCTCACTGTCTGATGGCTCTCCCTGACTGAGGATGAGCACTGAGGAGATAGGTGGGCATCTGCAACAAGCACTCTAGTCCCCACAGGGCCTTGACATGGAGATGGCGCTTGGCCTGCCTTTCTGTCGTCTGCAATGGTGGAGCAGGGACTGGAGAAAAATTTTCCCTTGCCCTGGTCTGAGATCAGAGTTGAGAGACTCTTCTGCCCAGTGCTCACCTTTTTGTATGACAACTGCTGCTCTTTCCAGTTGCTCCACATACTTTGCCAGCTGTTCCTGGTGCCAATATTTAAAGAAAAGTCGTGACTTCCTGAGAAGTTGGGGAGAGAAAGAAGTGGTGAGAAACAGTTTGTCTACATTTGCCTCCAATTATCCTTTGGACAGGCCTTTCCTGCAGCCACAAAGTTCTCCCTGAAGGAAACCAGGTAACAGTCTCCACGTATAAAGTCTCTGCAGTTCAGGCCCCTTATATATATATAGGTGATCCACACCTACCCACATATCCAGCCTGTCAGCTCTGTATTTTGCAGTATCTGCAAGCAGCTGAAAGAGAGGAAAAGAGTTAAATAAATAATTTTCCGCCCAAAATGAACAACATGCAACCAGTGGTTTTAGGTGCATAAAGGGGGAGAAAGTGCCTCAATGATTCTGCATTGCATTCTCTGTCCCCTGTCACCCGATCACATTCAGTAACTGGCTGTCAATCAGTAGTGCTCCTTGAGGTACACCTAGTATCACATTCATAAACATCAGCAACGGGGTTTCCTAGAGGCAGATTTCCTTCAACTGCCTGGGAGGCAATTCTGAAGACCCTATTTTATTCTCAGAACTGTTTTTCCTCATCTCATTTCCAAGCTCTTTGGAGTACACAAGTTGCAAGGTTGGCACAGCAAGACATCTGGAAGAAAGTCTGTTTTCCATTTCCAGTTTCATTTTTCAGACTCCAGTGATAAAATATGGGTCACTCAGAAAGACTCACCAACACTTGGAACTGAAAGCAATACTGTAGCTGTACCACACAGGCAGCTTCCTCCCTCTGCCTGCAAATCCAGGCTGTGAAACCATAGTGGGGCTTTTTGCTAATATCTCACATAACAAAGCAGAAGTGGTTTTCCTTCTATCTCAGCCAACTGCCACTGTGCCAGAATCTATATTCAAGGTAATTATTTTCTCAAAAGCATCCTATGATTTTTGTGGCTGAAAACACATCATGCTGCCTGTCTACCATCATCTTTCTCTCATCAATGAGATTCTCTCTTGACTTGGGTCTAAAGTGGGTTTGTGATTTTTATCCATTCAGTAGCATCAGTAACTTCAAGGAAGCTCTGTGAAGGCTGGAGGAACTACTGCCAGAAGAGAACTTTTCCAGGAAAGCATTCAAATCCTTTTCTTAAAAGACAAAAAAATAAAATAAAATCAGCTGGCTGATGTTTCATGTTTCATTTTCACCTCCAGTCACAATTGGCCATGGTAGGAAGGAGGGACTGGGAAAGTGGAAAAGAAGAGGTGGGGAGTTGCTGCCCTTAGATGTAGGAAATAAAAAGCTGACAGGGTAAGACTGCAGAGCTGGAAGGACATTTATGTGTATAAGGAACAGTCAGGTTCTGAAAGTGCTGGGGATATATTATACCTGTACACACAAAAAATTCTTGGATCAGAAACATCCTCTCTAGCTTGGGAGGCATTCAGTGCTGGGTACTTGCTCACCATTGTCTTTATTGTCTTCTTTTTGTGTGAGGCCATCAGGAAAAAGCCTGGAGAAGCACCTCGCAATGGTGCTGAGCCCCTGCCATACTGAGTTCAGTGGACAATGAACTTGACACCCCCTGTGATGAGCAAGACTGACAGACTGGTAACAATGGATGAGGAGAAGGCTGAGGTGCTCAACGACTTCTTTGCCTCAGTCTTCACTGGCAGTGTCTATTCCTAACGTCTTAAGGGGATGGCCTGCAAGACGGGGATGGGAGGAGCAAAGTCCTGCCCACTATAAGAGAAGATCAGGTTTGAGACCACCTGAGGAACCTGAACATGCACAAGTCTAGGTGCAC